CGCAGTAATAAGGAAATCAATAATAAATATCGATATGATGATGGAGAAACCCCAATGGGTAAAAGTTCCTGAACCAAGTCAGTTACCTCCATTATAAACAATACGGAGTGAGTTATAGTCAAATGCTATCTAGCCAACTCCATTGGACTTTCCGATCTATTTCCTGCTAACTCTAAGGTCTGCTTCACGATCTTCTGCAATTGTCTCTTCCCAGTAAATTCCAAGAACCTGCTTCAAGGCCTTGTGCTCTTACGATGCTTGTAGTCCAACATATCTCAACCTCCAGCATCTTATAAAGTTCAATTGAGAAAGTACCTTCCTATAACCAATAGGAAGTATTTGGTGTTTCAGATTCAACGGGTTTGATGTTTTTCCCAAATATGTGGTTGTATGATCTCAAGAAGAAAAGATGAAATCGATATATGGATATGCTCTTGGATCTTCAAAGAATAATACAAATGTGTTTAGAGAATAAGCACAATATGCAATCACACTACAATTCGTGCATATTTTTGGGTATTTATAGGAAATAGTAATTAGGTTAAATGGGCCGAAAAAATACTTAAAATAGCAAATTAGGATTTTCTGGATCAATCTGTCGCTCGAGCGAGAAGCTGGCGATAGGCTTTCTGTTTTTGTCGTTTGAGCACCAATTGGGCAAGAAGCTAGCGAAATGCAGCACCGTATTTCTCATCTTTTCATGCTCGAACCCTAGGCCTCATAACCAAATTTATACAAATTGTACCATGGGTCCTTGACTTTTACAACATGTTACAAATTAGTCGTTTTGTCCACAAAATTGTCAACACTAAAAACCTAACAGAAACAATCAAAGAAAACAATTTTTTTATAAACTTATTTAATAGTGTTTCTTATTCGGTACCATTTCCCAACAAGTTAAGCCACCATGGTAACGTGGGTGTTGTATTGTTGTATGATGCAGAACTCGATAGAGTGTGTGATCTTTCTGGATGAAAGAATATATAAAAGACAGTTTTTTGTTGTGAAGGCTTGAATGATAATGCATGAGTAATGAACATATAATACATTGTTTGAAGTAGGTTTGAGAAACTTTAATTTTTTTTATTTTTTTATTTTCAATTTTTTAGGATAATCAATCTCAATTTTATTACCAACATTATTGAACTTTATTTTGTAGTAACTAATCTATTTAAAATCATTCATTTTTCCATGAAGAGTATGCCACTGGTTTCTCTCTTATTTTAATGGCATTATTCCAAATCAAATCAACTCAATATAATTTCATTTTAGTCATGTAGCATCACATGCTATTATCTAATTAGTAAAAGTAAAACCCAATTATACAAAGAAATAAAATATAGTAATTACACTATACTAAATTTAATAATCTCACCCAAATAAAATAATTATAAAAAGGTCCAACATTGCATTAGTGGTGCTCAACTCCTGAATCATGGAGTGATCACAAGTATATAGGGATAATTACCTAGTTGGTCATTGAACTTTGCATAAAGTTTCAAAGATATAATTGAACTTTAGAAGTTTTCCCGTTAATCACTTAATTTTAAAAAATATAAACTCATCAATCACTGAATATTCTTAGGGATAATTATCTTATTGGTCATTGAATTTTAAATTTTGTAAAGTTTAGTAACTAATGGAAAAACTTTTAAAGTTCAATGACTTTTGAGAACTTTACACGAAGTCAATGACCAATCAAGTAATTATTCATAAGAATATGCAAATACACTTGATTTTCCCTCAACTGCACATGGCTAGCACGTGTTTCTTTTGAATGTTTGTTGCAGAAGCTTGCGCGCACCTCAACTAATTCCAAGGGGCCCGAAGTTTACGGTCGGGTACTGATCTCAGTGATCTTGAGAGGATTCGAACTAATGACCATTGGGGAGCAAACTCAATGCCTGACCAATTGATCAACCCCTCAAGGTTATATTTTTCTTTGTTTTTGTGCTCTTTAAATATTTTTTGTCTAAGTTATACTATTTATCATCGTAATGATGGAATATCGACAATTTAACAATACATTATCCATCACATTTCTTTTTCTCTCACCTCCCTCCCTCTCATATAAGCTGAATTGTTCAATTTCATTATTCTATATATATTATTACATCATCGATATTTTATCATTATAATGATAAATAGCATTATTCTTCTTTCCTTAGTTTATTTTTACTTATGCCAATACTAGTCTCTTGAATAGAAGTGAATGCTGAATTGATGTATTCTATGATAGATAAAGAAAATTGTGAGACATTTAGCTTCTGTTTGAGTCACATTCTTCAAAAAGTTAAGATATATTTTGTTTGTTGTTTTCAATTTTTTTTTTTTTTGCGCAAAATACCCAAAACTTATTTGGTCTGATATTTTCGAAATTGCAATTTCAAAAACAATATTAAATTTATAACATGAAATTCAAAATACATTTTTGGCGTTCAAGCATTTTTCAAAAATGAAAACTCTAAAACACACAAAACATGAAAAATAGGCTTTTAAATAAAATTTTATTTGAGTGAAATTCAAAAAATAAAAAATAAATAAAATTTAAAATTCTAAAAAAATCAAATTCTAAAAGCTTTAGAAAAATAAAAGTTATATATAGTCAAGCTGAATGGCTATTTACATAAAAACTCTAAAAATAATATTTAAATGAACACGTATAAAAAAATCTCAATCCTCATCATCACTTTTTATTTTTTATTTCATACGTTTTGCCAACTCAATTTATTATTTATTTTTGTTTTACTTTTGTAGCCAAAAAATTATTGAAAGGTTTATCAATTTTAAAATGTATATATTATTTGATAATACATTAACCTAAAAAAAATTATTTTATTGAAAAATCAAATTTCAGAAATAATTTTTCGAAATTTCAAATCAAACGTATTTTATAATTTTCTATTTTGAGAAATAAATTTTCAAAATGCAAATCAAAACTTTTTTAGCAATCTTAATACAAACCTTCAAAACAGAAAATTAAAAATGAACTCAAAATTCAAAATTAAAATACAAATAGAATGATCCCTTATTTTTCCTCAAACTCATTTTTAACACCTCATTCTCAATAAAAATTTTATACGTAACTCCAAAAAAAAAAAAATTTCCTACTTTTCTCCAAAAAAAAAATTACACCCTAAGTTTGGTGTCTGATATCTACAAGTCCGATCAAGCTAATTTTGCACATTATTATTGCTAAGATAAATTGAAACCAGAATACCATACTTGATTGTCTCAACCTCATTCTATATGACGCAAAAAATAGAAAGAGCCATGCTTTTAGAATTGAGATGTTCACGCTTAAATCTTATCCACGGTTTTCATTGCAATTTTCATGCTCCATATATAAATTTATTATCTTGTTGTGCATTGTGAACAATAAGAGATTTTGGGTGTTACTATTTGATTCATCAATAAGGTTAACCTAGAATTATATTATTCTTCTATAAATCACATAAAAATGTAGTGCCTAATCCCTGTTACCAAACAGGCCTTCCAACTCTTCAAGACTTGAATGAACATTGCCGCCACGTGTTCTGTCCAAAAGTCAAATTTTTTTAAAAATCACAGTTGTCATTTTTCTATTGGTTGAATGACATGGAAGTTTGACCCTTTTGCATTGAGTTTTATTTGTACTTCAGAATGCTCTCTTATTATCAGAATTTTGTTAATTTTGGTAAAACAAATAATTTACATACTAGAATAAAAAATCAATTTGTTGGCTTCCTTTAAGAATATTTAACATTAAATTATCATAATGCTCATAAAATTTTTTAAAAACAATTAAAATTTCAAATAATAAATTAAGAAATAAATTTTTTTACCATAGAAATTTTTTTTAAAAAATCATTTTTGAGTATCGACATCTTGCAAAATGTCATTTTTTTAAAACTTAAATTCAAGATATTTATGTTAAATTCAAAAATTAGGTTACAACAATAACAAGATTTAAGAGTCCTGACATTCATCAAATTGTGCCAATTTTTCGACTTCAAATCAAGACATTTAGCCCATGTTTGGTCCACATTATTTTTTTTATCCTCATTATTCTTCTATTTATTTTCAATCATATATTTTTCAATAAAATAATATTTTCCATCAGATCAACAAAAAAATGCATTATTGCCTCCAAAATGTACACCAAACATGGGCTTATATATAGATAAACACGTATAAAGATAGAAGTAATATTTTTCCCCTTTTGCATCTAATTTAGTGACCATAAATCAAATTATTCCAATTTTATTCAAATCAATTCTAATATTAGTTGTGTTTATTTTTGTTTTTCCTAATCATTTTTTTTTTTTAAATTCAAAAACCAAGGGTAGTGGATGAAGTGATCCAGTATTATATTAATTAAAGAATAAATTTCTAGAGGGGTCCCCAACCTTTTATAGGCGTGTCAGTTATATGCAAAACCTTTCATCTGTAGCAATTGTGTCGCAGCCTTTTAAATCTATGCTAGTTATATCCCAACATGATGAAAAACATCTGTTTGAACGTTAAATGACCACTGACATGCACATGATATCTTACCAGAAGGGTAGAATTGTCCAGAAAAACATTTGTTTCGTGAAATGTTGCTTTTTGAACAAGTGTACTCTTTTAGTCAAATATCACTTGTGCGTCGCTTGATCATTTAACTTCAAAATAGACGTTTTTGTTTAATGAAGACACAATGCACATCGTTAAAAAGCATGGAGCCGTGAAAAATAAGGGACGTGACTGTCACACTTACGAAATGATAGAGGCCTCTTAAAGAATTACCCAATAAGAAATTATGAAATAAAAATGAGTGGGTACAGATAAGCAAATCGCGCACTAGCAAACAGAATATAAGTCCTCGCTAAACGTTTAAAAAAGGAAATTGATACTCAGAAAAATCAATACCCATTTGTTGAATCAATTACTTCAATTATAATTTCTCTTTTCTGTACCTAACTTTTTCTCTCTCAATAAACCAAACTGAAACCTAAAGGAAGCAAAAGCTTTTCAGAGAAATGGAGATTTTGAACCCAACAGAGGCGAGTTTCATGGTGGATGATGAACTTTTGAACTTCAATTTAGAAGAGGAAGAGGAAGAACAGAAACCCGTTTTCAATTTGAAAGGCCATTTTTCTTCTTCTCAATCCACAAACCCGTCGACAACAATTACTCGAACCGAAACTCAAAACGCTTCGTTTCCTGTAAGTCATGCATTCGTGATTTTACGTTACTCTTAAATGGAGTTCCTCATTCGAGACTCTGTCGGCGTAGAACCTCCGAGTTGGATGTGACTCGGGAGGGTTTGGTCGGTTTTATGATTTTGGAGGCCCAAACTCCGTTTGACTCGGTGGTTTTGTGTCTCGACTCGGACGAGTTTGACGAGTCGGTTCCCGGGTCGTCTCCGCGTCGATTGAATTGAGACATTCGAGTCAAAATTGCCGGCCGATATTTTAATTTTGGTGGATTAAATGACAAAATTGTCCTTGTGAATCTTAAATTTCGTGGGAAACTTGTAAAATACACAAGGGTATTTTCGTGATATCATTATTATTTGACGTGGGTACTTTTGGAATTCTGATTATTTTACTGTTGTTGGAGCATTGATTAATTTGAGCTGTAAAAATAAATGCTAAGGTCCTTTTCAAAACTAGTAACATGTGGACATAATACTGCATTTTTCGTTTAGTGCAAAGACAATTTTATCCCTACTAAATAAATTATTCTGTCAATTTGTCTACTTGGATAGGACTTACTCTAGGTAACATCCAACATGGTACCGCATTATTCAAAGAATTATTCTATCCATTATTGAAATTTTGGATGCCATAATAATGTTTTCGTTACGGGCATAATTTGAAATTCGTTCAACTATGTTGACTTAAACGATATGAACAGAGTTACTTTCAAAATAAATAATAAATTAAGTTAAACCGATTTCAGGAATTTGTGGAGGAAGAATTGGAATGGTTATCCAACAAGGACGCGTTCCCATCCGTGGAAACATGCTTTGGCATTTTGTCCGACAATCCGGAACTTATGTTGAACCGCCAGAGCCCGGTATCAGTTCTTGAAAGCAGTAGTAGCAGCAGCAATAGCAATACCAATAGCACAATGAATGGAAGCACCGTTGCGAGCTGGCGTGGCAGCTTTAAATTCCAAGGTAACTACCTAAGTCGTGCCCGTAGCAAGAGACAGAGAAAAAGAGCTGGCTTCGGCGATTTTCCCAGCCAGCAATGTCTATGGTCGAACAAAGTTAAGGTCGAGAACAAAAAGCAAGAATCATTTTCACTGCAACCATCACCAGTGATGGTGCAGAATGGAGCTGGTATGGGGAGGAGGTGCTTGCATTGCCAAGCTGACAAGACACCACAGTGGCGAGCAGGCCCAATGGGGCCAAAGACACTTTGCAATGCTTGTGGGGTGCGATACAAGTCCGGTCGCCTCCTGCCTGAGTACCGTCCTGCAAGTAGTCCGACGTTCTCGAGCACCTTGCACTCGAACTCTCATAGGAAGGTGGTTGAGATGAGAAAGCAGAAGCAGATAGGACCAGACGGAATTGTGGCAAACGAGACTTGTGGATATAAGGTAGGATAGTGATGAGTAGTGCACTTCAGTGTTTTAGTCCTTTTATTTTTAGTTTTAGTTAATTTTTTTTAGCTTAGTTATATTATGTTTTAGGCTTGTATTGGACTAGATGGTTAGTGAATCACATTTGTGTTCCTTTTTTTTTTTTTTATCAAAATCCATTAGGGAATTTTGAACTTTGGTGTGTTTGATTATGCATTAGAATATAAATTTCATACTAGAAATGCCCCCTTATTTACATGAGAATTACAGTTTCCCTGCAATTTCATAGATTGAAGATGAATTTTGGACCTCGGAATTTTTTGATTCTTGCAACTCATTAGCTGTTTCGCATGGGGGATAATATCTTCACTTCTCGATTATTGTTCATTCTCTTCTCCCGAATAATAAAGCTATTTGTACAAAGTTGAGTTACAAAAGTTGGGTTACAAAGTGTGTTGGCAAAATGCAAACTGTTGATTTCAAATGATTTAAAAATTTATTTTTAAAATGATTGATGTAGATGTTATTTTATCAACCAACTTTGTAACCCAACTTTGAACATGTAGCATAACTCTCTCCCAAAAAGGTTGTATATTTGTTTTTGCGCTGTTTTATGTAGCCACAACGCTCATATTGCACCTTATTTATTGCCTTTTGTCACGCATAAGCTGCTTTCTAGGGTAAACGATGGCTATTTTTGTAAGAGTGATGCTATTTAGCACCACGGGTGCTAAACTCCTGTTTGTGTGGCGTGTTAGTCCCATTAATTAAAAGATTACCTTAAAAGTAGGAAAATAAATTACATTTAAGATGTCATATCACTTGTACGACGCCTAGACTGGTGCTATTGCACCGCTGTTGCTGGAAAACATTAATTTTTTTTTTTTTTATGTGGAGGAAAATGTTTGGCATGGTAGAAATTGAATATGCCATTTTCACTTTGAAGATGGACAGGGATTGTTATATCTCCAATTCAGGTCGAGATATTTGAGATTGTGGTGATGGAAAATTGAAGAATCCTGTACGGATGTGAATTTCGGTTGCAGCTAGCAATATATAAACTTTGTGAAAAGTAGTGTAGAGAAGGAAAAAAGTAAAAGAAAATTTGAAGTTGTAATAGAAAGGGACATGAAAAGCAAAACTGTCTATACTTTTCCATGGCAATGAGTTGGATTTTAGCCTTTACACTGGGTCTAAGATCATTTTCTCTCGTTATGGTGGATTGTGGACTCATTGGAACTTTTAGGTATCTTAATTGTGAAGTACTGAAATTGTTGGTATTTGTTTTGAAAGTTCCGGGAAAAGAGAAGATAAAATTGTAAGCATAGAGTTTTAAAAGATGGTCTTCCTTTCGTTGGAATTGAATTAGGATTACGTAGTGCAATTAGAACTTATGCTCCATTTGGTAAAGATTTTTGAGATTATAAGGAAATTAGGGCAGACACATGGGTCGTGGTGGAACGAACTGAGCCACTTATGGGTTGAGCTCTCACGAGCCAGCTTGCTGAACAGATAAGCAGTTCAGACCCACTACCACTTCACGAAAGGTCTCTCTTTGTGATATCGATATTTGCGTTCAATCACCAGGTCTTCTAAAATGGAACACGATCTCAAAGAAGCTTATGATCTTCCTAAACATCTATAGACTCCAATCTCATGTGTAATGTCTAATTTGTTAGAATTAGGGAGTGTCAATGAGTCGAGCCGAGCCGAGCCGAACCGAGCTGCCAGCCTAACCTTGAAGCTCGAGCTCGGTTTGAGTAAAAATGGATCGTATTTTTTTTTTTACTCAAGTCGAGCCTAACAAAAGTTCGGCAAAAAAATTTAGGCTCGACTTGAACTTTCGGTTCGGGACTTAATGAGCCAAGTAGGCTCAGTTTTTTTGTTTTTTTTTTTAAATAAATAGTATAGTTGTAGGCAACTGTAATTTTAGCTGCTTTTATTTTTTTATTTTTAAAGTTTTGCAAATTACAATTTTTTTTAAGGCTCGGCTCTTCATGGGCTGGCCCCGATAGGCTTTTCATAGGCCAAGCCACGAGACGTCCAAGCCACGAGCCACATTGACATCCCTAGTTAGATTTGTACTCCCAATTTCCTGAATTTATGTGAATTATACACAACAATTTTTTTTTCATTGTGACTTCTAATGAATTTAGTTCTATATGTTCTATGCATTAAAGATATGCAATGAGCATATCGTGAAAATTTCGTATTTAATGTCTTGAAGTTCGTGTTTCATGTTCTCAAGGTGGAAACTTTACAAATTTCAAGTTTCGCAATCACGTGTTAAATATTTAATTTATATGTTAATATGTGTGTTGAAGACAAATATAAATAAATAAATTTATAATATGTTTGAGATTTTAAACTTTTAAATTAATCGATTAAACACGAATATTGATTTGAACTGCCCCGCGAGAATTTTTCTTTTTGTTCATGGCAAGAAATTTTTAAATTGTGCTTAGAGCATAGAAGAGAGATTGATTACTATGTATTTGTATTTCTTCAATTGGCTTCCAAAGGGGTACGCCTCTTGGGTGAAAATCAAGCTATATGTCTCACTATTTGTGTCAATTTGAATCAACTCACTCCTTGTGTCACTTGCAATATAATTCTAAATTCGACCCTTTTATTTATTTTCTTTTTATGTTAATGAAAGCAAAATCATGCACATGTCAGTTTGTTATTTGATACATTAGACTATCACATTAATTTATCAAATAACAAGTTGTTACGTATATGTCATATAAGACGACTATCGATAATCTCCACTATGAATAGCATTATTCATTTGATTAAGATGGGTTTGAGCGAGAGTTGTAAGCATAAATTGTCAATTTAAGAAATCGAATCGAAACTACATTTTTCAAATCGACTTGGTATCAGATGGACCCATCAATGAAGTGATTTTGAGTTAAATCACATCGTTCTAAAACATTTTCATTTAGGTTCCAAAACTTTAATGAATTAAATTGGACCACATAAAAATAAAAATAAAAAAATTTAAATTGTGGCCGGAAATTAGACTAGTCAATTACAGCCTAAAAACTGTCTTAAAATGATTTGAATTAATTTTTTTTCTTCAAAACCAGGCGAAATCGGATTATTTACACTCCTAATTTTTAAGTACATAAAGCTAAGAATATGTAGGTTACATGTACTATGACACTTTAAAAAAAATTAACTCACGGGGTCTGTTTGGTTTAAATTTCATGAAAAATGTCACATCTGAAAAATTCAATTTCTACTTTGACCGTTTGATACAAAAGTGGAAATGACGTTCGAATTTTAAAGTACAATCACTTAAAGCTTGTTTTTTGCCAATTTCATGGAAAATGCATTCCTATATGGTACTTAAATTTTTATTTTCCAACTTACATGAAATTGGAAAATCTTTCCACCTTTACCAATTGAACCGACTTTTAGTTTCTCCAAGAATATGTAGGTTACATGTAAATGGTCTTTTAAGAATAATCATAGTCAATTATAAAATGTTGAGATATTATGGGTCCAAGACTCCAAGTCACATATAATATGCCATATCCCTAAAGGGCACATGATTCTCTAGGACTGAGATTGGATAGGGGTTGATGTGTATAGTAATGTGCTCACATTATCTATTTTTGAAGTGGCTACGGTTCGATTTATTTACGAGCCTAGCCCATTGGCCTTGGACTAAATGGATTTTCTTTCTCATATGATTGGGTTTAAAACTTGACTATGCAAAACCCATTTTTACCATTTTTCCCTTATAGTCTTGTACACTAGACTAGCCTATTCATGCGAGACGAGCCATGTCCTTGCTAGGCTTTTCAAGCACGGGGCTGCCGCCAGCCTTAGCGACCGCTCGATCTAATATCTCTAGGTGAGGTGGAGATTTTGACTCTTGAACCCAATTAGTCAATCTGTCTATGTGCATATTCATAAATAATTTCACATCATACTAAATTAGGTTTAAATGTAAAGACAAACTTAAGACACTTTCATTGCTTCCAAGGCCAAAGGTTAAGTTATTCCACAATATTATAACAATTCAATGCCTTGTAATTTGTAGCTGCCCTATGCTTCATGTCATTATAAATTTACAATATAAAAATTGTCATGCAATTAATTAATAATAATAGTATTATTATTTTTTCATCAAGTTCTTGAATTAAAAGATGGGATTCAAGAACTTGAAGTAAAAAAGACTTTCACACTTGGGAAGGAAAACACAGTCTTCCTTAATGTACAAAGAACTGAAAGAAAGAAAGTCTTGTGGGAAAAAAAATTCTCCTAGCAAATGGTCTAGTTTTCACTATTCAATCTCATTAATTTCCATGCATGAACAAAGGATTATCAGACCTCTTTTATTCTCATTTTTGATAGATTCTTTATGGTTATTGGGTGAAATTCGAGAAGAAAATTTATTATCTTATATTTGTTATGGAGTTTCGGTTTCTGTTCATAAAAATTCAATAGTCAAATCTCATATGACAAGGTTGCGTCATGTAAATTTGTTTTTAGAAAAAATTGCCGTATGCATGTGACTCTAAAAGCACTTCATATTATAATCGAACTTTTTTTCCTTTACAAGTAAGGTGGCCTATTTTTCTTGGAATTGGCTAAGTAATCCTTTATATAGCTTTATAGGCTTGATATTGAGTTTAAAGCACTCAATATAGAGCTTACTCCAAACAAGTTAGATGTAAGAACTTTGAATTCTCAATGCAAAAATTAGATTTCTTGTTTAATTGCATATGAAGAAAAGTGATATTAGAGGTAAAAAAAAAAATTAGGTATGAATTTTCCAACATTTGATGTTGTGTGGTTATGACTCCTCAAATTTCATAAGTGAATTTCAAATCCCTAACCTATTTAATTATGTGAGCCCGTGTTGATACGTTATTGAAATTGTCAATGTTAACGTTAATATCACATGCCACTTAACATTTCTTTCCAACAACAAAATTCACGATAGAGTTTAATGTTTACATTCGCAAGTTTCAATCACATGAAATCGAAATTTACATATTTAAATAGGTTAAGAACTCAAAATCTCAAATTTAAAGGTCGAAAATCTATAACTACTACGCAAAAGATTAGAAAATTGAACCCTAATTTTCTATCTTACTTATATTTTGATTATTTTCAAAATAAATATTCACTTAGTGGTACCCCAATCAAACACAAGAGCTCCAAATCACTCAATCAATTTGATCAAATTATTTTTTATTTTATTGAGAGGAGGACCACCTCCATCTTAGGTTCTTGAAGTTATAAAAAAATTTAATTCCACGACGCGTATATGACCAGTCGTTGGATAAGTTCTAGGCCTCAATACATGGCATCACATGATTCATTATTTTATATCAAATCATTAAATCAAAATGCATAATGAATTAGGTTTCCATCGACCGTGTTGTCAACCTTTACCAACCCTATCCCGTTGAATAATTACATATTTTATTGCAAGCTTTTATGTGAAATGAAGAACAAAGACCATTTTCAAGATTCATGGCGGTGATGAATTTGATGCTCTTTGCCTATAGTTAAAAATAGTACCAAGTTTAAATCTTGTTTATTGTTTGATCGATATGTTTCACCGCTACATATTATTTGATCCTTTTCGCCTTTAACCACGCGTAGAGATGAAAAATGAATTAGGTTAATTCACAAAAGATTTTTGGTCAAGGCGATCAACACGATCATGATTCTACTCCTGCCAAACCTCTTCAACGACACTAACTTGTGAAGATAGCATGACTGTTCACAAAAATTTCTAGGTCGTACCCTTTACCCTCGGGGGATAACCTTTTTTTCCCCCTTCATTTTCAAGTTCATATAAGCAATCACATTCAACTTGTCTACCATCAAAGAATTCTCACTCACTCAATTTTCAAACTACTTTTTCTCAAATTTTTGGTTTCAAATTCATCGGATGA